GGGATAAACCCGAGAGACGGGTCAAAGACGGGATGAGGGGAATTTGGAATCGTTTAAACAGGTGAGAATCAGTTGTACACTGAGTTGGAACCGAATGGTCCACGGTGGAAATGTTTGTTTTTTCAACTTTTGTTTCATGCATTAGGAGCAGGCAATAAAGATGGGAGTGTAGAATTGAATCACATAGGATGGGAAGATAATAACAGGAAGCTTAGCCTGATTGCATTCAGTCACATTATTTTCGTGTGTTGATTGATAATCATTACCACGTCAGTGGGATTTATTACACGTTCATGAAATTGAATCTTCCTGTGTTGAACAGGATGTGGAAAACGAACGATGATTGCCGTGTTGCGTTTCAGAACGTGCATCATCAAAATCGAGGCCAAGATTTGAGTCCGGTTGTCCGGTTGATGGAGAATGTAGCTGATCCTGATCGAGATCATCATCAGCTTCATCATCATCGTCAACATCATCATTATTATTATTCTCATTGTGAACACCCTGGGCATTCCCATCTTCTTCACTATCCGGATCGATCACAAGTTCACCGGGTTTACACTCGGAAAGAGGAATTTCCGTGTCGTGCGGTTCACACGTGTCAAACACCGTGCCGTACTGTAATCCCACATTGATATTTGGCATGGATAATGGTTGAGCGGAACACCCATCAGACCATGACAGTCGAGATGCGGAGTGTTGAGGAGAATTTCCCAAACTGGTAGACACCGGAGCCACGGGTGGTATGGCTACAGTCGAGGAAGTGCGTAAACGTCTGCGCACACCAATGAGAAACGATAGCGGCGAATGAACAGACCCAGATGCATTCGGGACTGAACAGCATTGATTTTGAGAGGTATGATCTACTGGCTGATTGGTGGTTTCGGGGTCAAATTTCTCAGGTTCCGGATGGTCTTCTGATGCTNCGCTGATTGTGGCTCGTTGCTTTTAGTTTGCGATGAAACATGCGCCGATTCGGGTTTGATTTGTGTCGTTCGCACGCGTTTTGATGAATTCGGTGATTTGGTACGAGACTGTGGGAGTGAACGCCTACGTGAGGCACTTGATCGGCGTCGTTTCAGACAGGACCGACGACGACAACGACGAGACAGAGATCGCGAACGGGAAGCAGTAGTGTTTTGAACAGTAGGTGACTTTCTTGAACAGGACGGATGAATAGCGCTATTGGAAGTATCGGTGGATGAAATAGCCCCCAAAGTTGGGTTTACTGGCTGGCTGGAGATATTCTCTGTAGCTGTAACAAGTTTAGTAACAGCAACATCACCCATCATGGTGGCAGAGTGGTTACAAGTGGATGCGGATGATCGACGACCAGTGCCCGACGTTCTTCTCGAGGTTCTAACTGCAGATCGAGTGCT